GCGTTAAATTCAAAAATAATCTACTAACTCCTTAAGGGTACATAGTAGAAAAGCTAATGCTCAAAGGAGAGTACATCTAAAAACAAAAAATAAACCTAAGAGGTACATCCCATGAATTATAAAAATAAAATAGAAAGAAAAAACCACGGAGGCACAATGATCCACATCAAAAAAAAGAGCAGAGCCCTGAACAACCAAAAAGCATAGCACTTGTAGCATAAGCTGTAGCAGAAGCGAACCACCTGAGACCAACCTAGCAGACCAAAATTCAAAAACCCAAACCATGGTCTATATAACTTGCAAAGAATAGTATATATTATAAACTTCAAATAAAATCAAATAATCACATCCTCAATAAAAAAAACAACCGAAACCACAATAACAAAACTAAGAGCAGCCATCAGAGTGACCAAAACCCACAGCAACCAGTCAGGGAACTCCAACAAACAGCTGAGCCACCACAACAGGGCAAACACACCAAAAAGATAAAAAATCAAACCCACTAATAAATCATCACTAACAACTAGCCTAAAAGAACGTCCAACCACCAACAAGCAGAAACCATAAAACACAGGACCCCATCCAAACGATGATATTTGGAGCTAGATTGGAGGAAATTGAAAGCATAATGGAGATCAATATAGTCAACTTCCAAATTCTCGAATCTTATAATCATTTATCTTGTTTTTTCAAGAGGTATATGAATATTATATATATATAATATATATATATATATATTATAATATATATATATAAAGTCTAAGGAGACGGTCTGCACCAAAATTTTTATATTAATTAACTTAAAAATGAGTCATTTTAATCATTTAATTCTCACAATCATATCTTAATCATTCTTAATCGTATCAAAAATTATAAGCATCTAAATGACACTAAACATAATCATAGCAGTTTATATTTGTTCGAAAGTTATAAAGAACCTTCATATTCACCATTCAACAAAGAAATATGAACAGTACGCATCAACTTCCACATATCACTTATAGGCATTCACCGCACCCTTCAAATTTACTTGGTCGACTACACACCAAAAATAAAATAAAATAAAATTAAATACATAATAATAAAAGATTGCTGATGACCTAAATGACCTCTTATGCCTCATAGGATTTATTATTCTGTGCAGAATCGAGGGCGTCCGAGATCAATAAAAGCGACATATATCCAAAAACTTTAACCCGTTTGACGAGCTCAGTACTCACGCTTTGATACCACTCAAGTACCGAAGCGCTTCTAGACGGATACTGCTGGTTCCCGCCACAAAAATAATTAGCATCCATCCATTTAAAGCAAAAAATACAAATAAGAATGCATATAACTTATAGTCTTCAATGCCCTCTCCTATTTTCGTCTAATTCTTCAACAGTACACTTTCAGCTACACTGGGGGAAAGGCAACTCAGTTTAACGTGTTGGGTGGGAGCTATTTGACTACAACAAAGTGTCAGATATGGTTTGCATATGAGAAAGGTTGTGATTTACTTTATTGACCTAAATGTCTCAAAAAAAAAAAAAAAAAACCTAGTGCCATAATGCCTTTTAATTTTGAAGATGATTGGTTTGGCAACCACTGTGCTTATGTTCTACAAACGAACCATAATCGAGCGAGTATGTGATGTTCATCGTTTGATGTTCCGTTTCTATATTAGCTTGGTCAAGTTCCGCGTCATGTTTGATCTCAGCTTTATTGTTGTGTTCATGTTTGATTCGTTTAAATAATGGTGTCATGTTTGATTCATATTTGGTTCTGTTAATGATCATACGAGCTTTAAACAAAAAGCCTTAATGAGCTTTTGTCGTGAACATATTTAACGAATTTTTTATACTACAAACAAGGCCATGTTCTGAACAAATTCTAACGAGTATTTCTTATCTATCAAGAAACCCTAAACAATGTAATATAAAAATTAGGTAATGAAAGGAAATTAAACACAACATATTTATAAAATTTTAAACTATATATATAATTTATTAATTAATTAATTATAATCATTACTAAATAATTAAAATCTTATATTATGTCATATTTATCAATTTTATATTAAATAGTTAATCGAGTTTTTATCGATTTATTCACGAGTTCTGAATTGAACACGGTTCAATTTCTTATCGAGCTTAATGTCGACATATTCACGAGTCTCAAATGATGTGTTTGAACATAAATGAACGAACAATAGCGTTCAGCTTATTCAATTAAGGATTAAAGTAGTTAAAATGATGTTCAAGTTTATTTATTTATTTAGCCTAAACAACGCAAACTAGCTTAATTGAAATGAGCACGAGTAGCTATGCAAACTTTATTTCGCTTGCAAACCGCTAACTGTGTTCCTCCTGATTGATATGTAAGAATGAAGGTTAACATTAGATGGGACCTCAATTATATAACCTCTGAGAATCTTCAATGGAGAAAATTATAGGTGCAAATGCAGACAGAAAACCGTCCGCAACAAATACTGGGTACCTGGTACCCAGTCACGTACCGAGCGGTACCTAGTACCCAAGCCTGTATCCAGACTGGGTACCTAAGCCAATAGTGGATATAAAGCATTTTATTGATTCTCCGGACGGTACTCCCACACCTAATAATTTCTCTTCAATAGGTACCCAACCGCCTCAAGATCCATAGCTCTGCTGCAATCAACTATTAGAATTTATTGCCTTATTCCAACAGACTCTAACAAATCAAAAGTTTCTATCTCCTCAAAGGATATAACAGAAGTGTCAACCCTTACTTATCACTATACAGCTGTACAATATATGACAATAATTTAAAACGGTTTGACTTTAATAAGAATAAAGTATAAACCTATTAATTAATCTCTAAAATTAAAAATACAACTAATAATAACTTATCTTTATAGTAAAAACATCCTTTTAATTGTATATGGATTTAAACAAAATATTATACATATAAATATAAATATATTATCATTACAATATTAGATGTATAAGCCCACATAAATTTTCTATTTGATATTATTATTTTTATAAAAAAAAAAAAAGCTTTTTTATACATTATTTAAAAGTACCCTAAGTTTTTGTTTACGGACAATTCTTAAAGGAACTTCTGATACCAAAATTTTAAAAATTAAAAAAAAAAATTTGTACTAAAAATTGTTTTATAAAATAGTAGACAACTGTCCCAAACGAATCGAAACTGAGAAAATATCTTGGTGTTTGATTGAAACCATAGCCTTTAATTAAATTTAAATTCAAGTAGTATATTCATCATTTTTTTTCCTTTAAATTTCTAATATAATATACTCACCACTTTCTAATATATATAATAAAATTTTGTGCCAGGGTCAAACAGCTTTGTAGCACTTCAGCAAAAAAAAGTCAAAGCAGCTGCAGGATCTTGTCTAATAAAATAGAAAGAAAAAACTACGGGGCAGCAATGAGCCACCATCAAAAAAGGAGCCAGAGCCCTGAACAGCCAAAAAGCATAGCACTTGTAGCAGAAGCTTGTAGCAGAAGCGAACCACCTGAACCAACCTAGCCGACCAAAATTCAAAGACCCAAACCATGATCTAAAACCTGCACTAATGCTCAAAGAGATACATCTAGAACAAAAAATAAACCTAAGAGGTTAAGATCCCTACTGAATTATAAAAATAAAATAGAAAGAAAAAACCACGGGGCAACAATGAGACACCACCCAAAAAGGAGCCAGAGCCCTGAACAGCCAAAAAGCATAGCACTTGTAGCAGAAGCGAACCACCTGAACCAACCTAGCCGACCAAAATTCGAAGACTCAAACCATGATCTAAAACCTGCAAGAAAAAAATAAACCTTCAAATAAAATCAAATAATCACATCCTCAATAAAGAAACAAACATAATAACAAAACAGGAGCAGACCAATCAGGTGACCAAAATCCACAACAACCAGCCAGCGAACCTCCAACTAAACAGCTGAGCCCACCACAACAGTGCAACACACCAAAAAGATAAAAAATCAAACACACTAATAATCATCACTAACAACTAGCCGAAAAGACTCCAACCACCAACAAGCAGAAACCATAAAACACAGGACCCCATCCAAACGGATGATATTGGAGGCTAGACTTTGGAGATTGAAAGCATAATGGAGATCAATATAGGTCTAACTTCCCAAATTTCTCGAGTCTTATAATTCATTTATCTTTTTTTTGTTTTTTCAAGAGTATATATATATATATCTAAAGTTCTAAGGAGACGGTCATGCACCAAATTTTATATTAATTAACTTTAAAAATGAGTCATTTTAATCATTATATGTACTGTACAATCATATCTTATCATGTCTTAATCGTATCATAAAATTTATAAGCAATCTAAAATGACACGTAAACATAATCATAGCAAGTTGATATTTGTGCAAAGTTATAAGAACCTTATATTCACCCATTCAACAAAGGAAATATTAACAGTGACGCCATCAACTTCACATATTCCACTTATAGAGG